CCCTTACCTATTTTGGTGTAGTGTTCATCTGAGAGCTGGTTAGGTTCAGTCAAAAAACTAAAAGGATATTTAAAGCGGTCCTTTGTAAGCTTGAATTTTTACTGTTAAAATATACTTAATAGTTGACTTAATTGCATGTGTTACATACTAATATTTTCTCCCAGATTTATTTATAATTGTTCTGGTCTGAAATTTGGTAGGAAGAGACTAAAGGGCTTTTTCTTTCCTAGGTTCAGAAGTTTAAAATGTTCACTTTATAGATACACTGTACTTGGCCTTTTGGAGAATAGTTTGGTAGTATCAACCTAAAAAAATGCAAACTACTAAATATTAAACACTAAAAGGTCCAGTTTATAGTATCTTTCTCCAGGAAACATATCTGCATGTGTACAAAGGAACAAATACTAAGAGGTACACATTGCAGCATTTTTAGGCCACCCTCCCCTAAGTATTGTAATCCCTCAGGTATACTGTGTGTCCACTGTGAGAAATTGTCTTGATGTCTGTGTGTGAATTATGAACTCCCAGATTTTTATTAGAAAGCAAGCAAGCTGCTGAATAATATTTCTAGTTTAAATTGCAAAGGAAAACTATTAACATTTCTGTAGGCACATAAGAAGTGTGTAAAGTTTTGAAAGGGATAGATATCAGAATGCTATTGGTGGAAGTAAAATCAAAGCTAGAAACAGTATTTATCGTTGCAATTTGTCTAAATTGAAGTAATAGGAACAAAGCACTAAGGCTTAATTTTTCTTTCATAATTTGAATAAGACTGAGTAGATTGTAATAAGGAACTTCAGGCAGTCATGAATGGCAACTTTTTATTCATACAGAAAGTAGTCTTTCAGGTATTAAGAGATGTATTTTGAAATTTAACTTGATGGAATTAAATATAACAACATCATGGCAAGACTTACATGGCATGTGACCATCTGTCATCTTATGTTGTCCTTTTAAAACTTGTGAATAATTTTTGCAAACCGCACCTATCATTTCATTCACAGCTGTTTTCATTAGTATGTACTAGGTGCCAAAAGCACTAGACATGGCATTAATGCCAGACAGACTTAGTAATGGATATGCCTAGTGAACTACTGCATTTTAGTAATAGTAAGTCAAGGGATATTGGAATTATCCTAAAGAGAGGGATTATATGTATTTCTTAAGAAATCTCTGTTTTTCTCAACACCCCAAAACAAATAAGCCAATTAAAAAATGGGCAGAGGATCTGGACAGTTCTCCAAAGAAGAAATTCAAATGGCCAAGAAGCACATGAAAAAATGCTCTACATCATTAATTATTAGTGAAATGCAAATTAAAACCACAATGAGACATCACCTAACACCAGTTACGATGGCCAACATCCAAAAGACAAGGAACAGCAAATGCTGGTGAGGATGCAGAGAAAGGGGAACCCTCGTACACTGCTGGTGGGAATGTAAACTAGTTCAACCATTGTAGAAAGCAATATGGAGGTTCCTCAGAAAACTAAAAATAGAAATACTATTTGACCCAGGAATTCCACTACTAGGAATTTATCCAAAGAATACAAGTTCTCAGATTCAAAAAGACATATGCACCCCTATGTTTATCACAGCACTATTTACAATAGCCAAGAAATGGAAGCAACCTAAGTGTCCATCAGTAGGTGAATGGATAAAGAAGAGGTGGTACATATACCCAATGGAATATTATTCAGCCATGAGAAGAGAAAACAGATCCTACCATTTGTAAGAAATGGATGGAGCTAGAGGGTATTGTGCTCAGTGAAATAAGCCAGGTGGAGAAAGACAAGTACCAAATGATTTCACTCATCTGTGGAGTATAACAACAAAACAAATCTGAAGGAACAAAACAGCAACAGACTCACAAACTCCAAGGACAGTCGGTTACCAAAGGGAAGGGGGTTGGGGAGGATGGGTGGGGAAGGAGGGAGAAGGGAATTAAGGGACATTATAATTAGCACACACAATATAGGTAGGTTGCAGGGAATGCAGTATAGCATGGAGAAGACAAGTAATGACTCTGTAGCATCTTAATACGCTGATGGACAGTGGTTATGATGGGATGGGGGGAGACTTGATAATATGGGTGAATATTGAAACCACAATATTGCTCATGTGAGACCTTGATAAGATTGTGTATCAATGATACCTTACTTTAAAAATCATTTTTTTAGATGCAGTGGAAATTTTTTCTAAAATTAAAAATGTTAGGTCATATTAATTAAATTTAGGATGTCAGTGGTCAGTGGTGAAAAAAGCTCCCCAAAATGTTTGAAAACTTGAAAATAGCCCAGCCTAAACTTGGCTGCACCTAAGAAAAAAGCAGTATGGGTGGGGAGGGTAGATGCAAAAAAAAAGTATTGGTTCTTAGATCCCATTCTTGAAGGTTCTGACTTAATTGGAGGAGGAATAGCTTGGGCATCTGGATTTTTTTTTTAAGCACTTTTAAGGTGCAGCCAATGTTGTGTCTGTACCACTACCTTAAAACAAGTGCTTGTCATCCTTGGTTGTCACTTAAAATATAATGGGCAATGGCTCCTTAGCAACAATTCTCCATGGTAATTTCACCTCCATGTTAAAGTGTGTTGCCTTCCCCTGGCCCAGGCATCCCCTATACATTCTGGACACTATTCCGTAATGCTTTTTGCATGTAGAAGTGCTCAATAAAAGTTGATTGAATACATGAAATAAATACCTTTAATCCACTCTCAGGAAAAATTTCTTTTACCTTCTTGACTTAACTGAAATTTTGCTTTTCCTAAGGCAGTCGTGCACCTTGTCCAACAGCCCTCCCTGACAGATACATGCTGCCTCCCTTTACTCAATGATAAAATTCCCTCTAGTTTTCAGGCTTCTGTCCTCTACCTAGATACCTGGGCACCTTTCCTTACTGTTGTTACCTAGTATTTCTTCATTCTCCACATAACTTGGTACCACTTTCCAGGCCTGTTGTCCTGGGAGACATCCATGACTTTCCCTGAAGATGACCTATGCAGTACTTCAGTTTAAGGTCTTGATTGACTCAGTAAAATGTATATTTGTCTCCCAAATCTCAGGCATTATTCTAGTGAGGTACTGTGTACACAGTGGTGAATAAAATGAATCTGGTGAACACTTTTGTTGCATGGAAAATAGACTGCAGGCAGGAAGAATGGAAACAGGAAGCTCAGTGTGGAGGCTAGAATAGTAAGCCAGGTGAGATGTGGCAAAAAAAGGAGCGAGTGGATTTAAGTTTTGGAAGGAGACCGGGCAAGACTTGGTGGATTGGTCACTGGATACTACTGGCCGTTAAGTTATGTACTGTCTCAGATACCACATCCATAGCCCTATCCCTGAAATCCTAAATCCACTTACCAAATAAAAGTCTACCAGTAAATCTGTTATAATACTACTTTGATTTGACTTGTTCTTCAGTCCATATCCATGCCCCATTCTCCCCCAACATTTCCTGCCTGGACCCGAAGGAGGCGTTTCCTGGGCTGCGGGACTCTCAGTGCTAAAACCAGGGTAGTTGGCATTTGTGACAACATAGATGGATCTGGAGGGTATTATGCTAAGTGAAGTAAGTTAGAGAAAGACGAATAGCATATGATACTTACATGTGGAATCCTAAAAAAATAAATAAAAAACAAATGAACAAACTAAGTGGAAATAGACTCATAAACACAGAGAACAGACTAGTGGTTGTCATAGGGGGAGGGGTTGGGAGATGAGTGAAATTGATGGAGGAAAAATTAGAATGATATTTTGATCTGGCTGATGGTTTACATTGAATGTATACACATGTCAAAACTCACCAAGTACACTAAGGTTGAGACCCATTATTGTATGTACCTCAATATTTTAAAAAAGAAATTTTAAAAAGAATAAAACTAGAGTTGTAGGTCAGGTTAAACCCATGCCCACCCTCTTCTCTACTCTTGTGTGCTGTTACAGTTGTTAACCCTTTCCTCAGAATTTATACACATGATTGCATCTGCATGTATCAGACCTCCTCCCATTTCCTACTCGCATTCCCCTCCTTTAGCTAACACCAGCTCATTCTTTGGACCTCCAGCTGATTTCCTAGCTCTCGGTATTTACAGTCCTTCTGCTGCTGCTGATAGTGGTGCTTGGCTCTTTGAGAGTTGGCTCTTTGTTAATTTTCCCTTTATTTTTTGCCTCACTGCTCCACTGAATGCTTTTAAGGGCTGTAATACCTGTTTTAAAGGGGCCTCCACCAGTTACTCTCTCCCTTTCCTTCATGGCACTTACAAAGTCTATACTTTGTTACTTGGTTTTCTGTGGCTTCCCACCCCACCCGACCCCCCGTGACCTGTGGTGTTCACCATACCTCCAGTGGTTGACACAGGTCCTGTCACATAGTATGACTCAGACAATTGACCAGTCAAATGATTATCTTACAGTGTACTTTTCCAATTTTTGGCATAAAGGATCAATAAATGAGTGTCGAATCTGTGATGATGATTATATGAGGGAATACATTTGCTGGCCAGCATTTTCTAAAAGCATCGTAAACCATGTATGTTGAATGGTCACAATTGTAAAAAAAAAAAAAGTTGGTATTTTGATGTAAAGAGTGTAAAAAAATAAACCAACAAAATACAGACAAAATGTCTTCCAAAAATTAAAAAAAAGTCAAGCAGGAGTAAGAAACCTCTTGATAGCCTAGGATCCTTGAGTGCCAGCTTTAGTTAGAAGGGTAAGGAACCTAGGTATCTGAATGTCTTGCTCCATTTTCGTTGATCTTGCATGCTTTAGTATTTAGTTAGATGGCAAGTGATAGGCCTATAAATTCCTGATACTGATGAGAGGAACAGGGCCATGCACAGCCAATGAAAAGAATCCAATCATCTTTTTTCATGGAATCATAATTGTCTGCAATTTCATCTTATACCAAGTCTGCTCCTTAAACTACATTAACTATAAGTAAATGTATCTTTGTTAATGTTGTTTAATGCCAAGTATATTGGTTTACTTTTTCTCCCTTTGTAGGCCAAAGAAATCCTGACAAAAGAGTCCAACGTGCAAGAGGTTCGATGTCCAGTCACCGTCTGTGGAGATGTGCATGGGCAATTTCATGATCTCATGGAACTGTTTAGAATTGGTGGCAAATCACCAGATACAAATTACTTGTTTATGGGAGATTATGTTGACAGAGGATATTATTCAGTTGAAACAGTTACTCTGCTTGTAGCTCTTAAGGTAATTTGTTTTATGTCTTGAACTGGGTAAGACAGTCCCCTTGAATGTTCCTTTTTTCCACACTTCTAGATTTTTTCCTGGTTTGATTTTTGTTTCTCCATCTGAATGTTAGGTTTTAGGAGGAAACTCCACATTTAGGAATGAATCTATTCAAGTTTGGGGCTTAGATATCATAGGTCTGTCTTCACTCTGAGTAATGGGACAGTATAGAATAAAAGCAAAATGGTTATTCTCTAAGGAAGAGAATGTTTCAGTCAAATTATTTTAAAAAAATGTTAGAGGGCCGGTCAAATATTTTAGTTCAATAAATTGGGGTGTGGAGAGATAATATAATTACCTTCCTAGATACTTTTGAAATATTATAAAAGAACAGAATGTTCCAAATGTTGGGATGTTTGTTGATATCCTTTGATGCAGTAATCCTATAATTAAACTGCTGAGGAGGAAATTCAAGAGGGAGGAGCTTTATGTGAAAACATGCATTGCATTATTTAATATCAGAAAGAATTTAAATATCCAATGTAAGTGAATATGTAAATATGATTTGTCTCAGTGGAATAGTTTGCAACAATTAAACATGACATAATCTAGAGTGGTAGAAATCATAGAAAGCAAGTTGGTTTTATACCAGTTATATAACCTTGGGAAATGTACAGAAATCTGAAGATGAAACACATGGTAAATGGCTTTAGGGTGGCAGGTTCCTGCCTTTTCCTTAAAAAGAAATTGTTTGGTTTTACCTTTGGGGAGATTTTTATCAAAGAATTTTGAGGAACGATAAAATGGCTGCCAGAGACTTCTAACATTGGAGAAGCCATGCACTGTGGTTTTAGCAAGAGCTGAATTTTAGGCAATTAATATATATGTTCATGAGGCTACTAGTCTGAATCATGTAAAGTGCTACAAAATACTTCTGGAGGTCATTATGTTCTCCATCTGTAAAATGAAGGAGTTGGATTAAATAATGGAGTTTCTGTGGTAACTCTAAATATTATGAAAGCAGCCTTGCAAGCTAACCTGTACTTAAAGCCCAGGATGGATCCCAGGGCTCAGAGGGGGAATGAATTTGCTGCCTTTAAGAATTCATGTTTGACGGAGTTATGGGCTGAATTTCCACCACTGCCAAATTCATATGTTGAAGTCCCACCCAAACTCCCTGTGCCTCCCTCCCTTCCCCCCACCTCAGTGTGGTTGTATTTGGAGATGAGGCCTTTAAAGAGGTAATTAAGTTAAATGAAGTAATTGGGGTGAGCCCTAGTGTAATATGACTGATGTCCTTATAAAAAGAAATAGGGAAACAGATACAGTGGGAAGGTGGTAAGATGGCCGTTTACTAGCCAAGGAAAGAGACCTTCAGAAGAAGCCAAACCTATGGACTCCTTGATCTTGGACATCTAGCCTCTAGAACTGTGAGGAAATAAATTTCTGTTTAAACTACCCAGTCTATGGTGCTTTTTTATGGCAGCCCTAGAAGACTAATATAGGGTTGGGAAAGGAAATTTCAGTAAACAATTCTGGAACAATTGGATATTCATATGCAAAAAATGAACTTAGCTCATACCATATAAAAGGATAGAAATCGATCAAAGACCTAAATGTAAGAGCTATTAAAACACAGGAGAAAATCTTTGTTACCTTGGATTAGGCAGTGATTTCTTAGATGTGATATTAGAAGCATGATCTATTAAAAAAACTGATAAATTGGACTTCATCAAAACTAAGATTTTTTTCTCTCCTTCTAAAGCCATCACTAAGAAAAAAATATTTGTATTCCTATGTATCTTTTAAAAGCCTGTAACTTGATAAAAAGACATTTTAAAATGGGCAAAGTATTTTCATAGAGTCCACCCAAGAAGATAAAATGGTCAGTAAGCACATGAAAGGATGCCCCAAATCATTAATCATCAGGGAAATATACAAATTACAGTCACAGTCATATCCATTAGAGTAGCTATCATCAGTGATCACCAATAAGGTTCATAGTTCCAGGTGTGAGTTTATAGAGATTAGAACCTCTCTGCATTGCTAGTGGGAATGTAAAGTGGTCCGGCCACTTCGAAAAACAGTTTGGCAGTTTCTCAAAAAGATAAACATTCCTACCATATGACCTAACAATTATACTCAAGTAGAACCCTACTCCAGAGAAATGACATACTCCATATGTCCATACAAAAACTTACAAGCAGAATGGTCATAGCAGCCTTATTCAGTAATATCTAAAAACTGCAGACCTTCCAAAGGTTCATCCTACTTGTGAGTAAAAAAACAAAAAGTGGTATAGCCACACAGTACAATACTGTGCAACAATAAAAATGAACAAACCACCGATCCATACCCAGATGAACTTCCGAAAGAATCTGCCAAGTGAAAGAATCCTGACCAAAAATACCCAAAACAAAACATACTGTATGGTGCCATTTATATGAAATTTCTAGAAAAGGCAAACCTCAAAATACAAAGTAAATCAGTGGGGTCTGGGAGTGGGAGCTGAGTGCAACTACAAACGCATGAGGGATCTTGCTGGGGTAGTGGAAAGGTTCTAAAACGATTGTGATAGTTGAGTAAGCATAAATATACCAAAAAATCATCAACCTGTAAAGAAATTCATGGGTGGAGTTTTACAGCTGACAGTTATGCTTGGGGTAATAGGTGGTGGTAGTGGGAGCTTGGTTTTATTTGAGATGGCAGGTGTCCCATGGACAGGGGTCTTTAGGGGTGAGGTTTCAGTTAGATGTGATGTGGGAGTGTGAGTTTTCTCCCCACCCTCCACAAAAGAGTTCCTGTAGAAGTTTGTGGAATTGCCATTTGCGTTTTGAAGGAGTTGGGTGGGTGTTCAGTGTTCTCCATTCTGTTTCAGGTTCGTTACCGTGAACGCATCACCATTCTTCGAGGAAATCATGAGAGCAGACAGATCACACAAGTATATGGTTTCTATGATGAGTGTTTAAGGAAATATGGAAATGCAAATGTTTGGAAATATTTTACAGATCTTTTTGACTATCTTCCTCTCACTGCCTTGGTGGATGGGCAGGTATGTAGGTCTTAAAACATATATTACTGATAATTTTCAAAATTTTGCTTTGTTTAGATGCCAATAACTTATTTTTCCGCTTTTACATCCCTCTGGGGTTTTTTTGAAGAGTTTTTCAAAAACCGCATGTTTGAACCACAGGGATGGAAGTTGTAGCCCATCCATCCTCTAAGGCTGTTTCTGAACAAGTCTGTGAGATGTAATTAGCTGTTTACTAGTCCAGGTAGAGGAATGAGCCAGGTAGAAGAAAATTGCAAGAAAATTCTATGAGAAACAAGATCAGTCTGGTGAGGGAAAGGTCAGAGAAACCTTTTGTTGGAGGAAAGTGGAGCGAAGTTGGCTTGAAGTCTGAGTGCAGTAGCAGTGGTTTATCAGGAAGAAAGGGGGTGTATTCAGTAGTTTAGAGTGGGCTAGAAGAAAGATAGACCCTGCAGAGACCCTGGTTCTGGCAAAACAGAAGCACCGATGGGGTCAGGTGATGTGGGCTGCTGCCTGCAGCTAAGTCCAGAGTGTTTATAAAGTTTCTTTTATTTGAGGTTAACATTATAAAACGTTCTTTTCAGATCTTCTGTCTACATGGTGGCCTCTCACCATCCATAGATACACTGGATCACATCAGAGCACTTGATCGTCTTCAAGAAGTTCCTCATGAGGTACTGGCTTTTGTTCGGTGATAAGATCTTTCTAGAAAACTTCCTAGAGGAACAATTTAATTGTATAGTTTACTATATGTAGTCCCTCATTTTTCTCAAAAATGACCCAGGTGGTGTAAATGCTATTGTTGACCCCATTTTTTAGAAGAAGCTGACGTTAAAAAACCTGGGAAATCAAAACAGCTAGGACTGGGCCTAGTACCTAGGTAGTTGCCTTCAGAGGCTTTGCCTTGATTACTACTAGACTGTACTGCCTAACACTGAAATCTGTATACTTTGGGCAAATTATTTAGGGCTTGTTGCCGTAGGGGCTCACTGACGTAGGCTGTGTGTGCTTCTTAAAGACATGTGGAAATAGTCTTTACTTGACACAGACATTTGACTTTTAACTTCAAAACTTTTTATCATTTTCATCAAACACCACTTAAAAAGTAAAACTTAGTAGGCTACTTCTGATGAATTTACTCAAATCATGTATTAACCATTTTTGCAAGAGGCAAGTTTAAAACTTAACTTGTTTTTCAGGGTCCAATGTGCGACTTGCTGTGGTCAGATCCAGATGACCGTGGTGGTTGGGGTATATCTCCTCGAGGAGCTGGTTACACTTTTGGGCAAGATATTTCTGAGACGTTTAATCATGCCAATGGTCTCACGTTGGTGTCAAGAGCTCACCAGCTGGTGATGGAGGTATGTTCTGTGTTTGAAGCCAGATTGCTTTTTAAGTAATGAAGGAAGATATTGGGGAGTTGTAAATTAATGATATTAATGAGAACATTTTATGTATTCTTCTTGGTGAGTTTGCCATTGTAGCCTGTGCCTTTTCAGCAGATCCACACTAGAATTAAAATCTTGAGCTTTTGATCACAGTGAAATTCATATTTAACATTTTCAGAGAACTCTGAACGACTGGGTAGTGCTTGAAATTTAAGGGGTGGACAAGTAAATGCATGGAGTAGCGGGGAGAGAGGAATGTAACATTTTATGATCTGAATTTTGTCTATTTCAAACATTTGCCTTGTGTATGTGTGGAAGAGAAATTGGGAAGAAATATACCAAAATGTTTTAAGTAGTTCTTTTGATGGTACAATTACAGGTGATGTAGAAGAAGAAACTTTTTAAAAAAGGGAAATGGGCTAAATTTTTATCATAGGACATTGACTAGCATACTTTTAAGACTAGGGTCTTGCTTAGATTAATATGAATACACCTCTGGTTATTATCAATAAAGTCTGATTTTGCTAAAAATAGGGAAAGAAATTTGTGAATACTTAAAAAGTGACTCATGCATTCAAGTGGACTTTGACTTTGACAGAATGAGGCTGGAGATCCTAGAGGCATCTCTCCTTTAATTAAATCAGAAACAAAACATAAATATTTTTTAAGCTTTTGGGGATGGGGAGAACTTTGATTCTTGTTGGAGTCACATTTGGTTGTATAAATAAGGGAGTAAAATTGATGTTTATCTCCTTCCTTTTCCTTGTAGGGATATAACTGGTGCCATGACCGGAATGTAGTAACAATTTTTAGTGCTCCAAACTATTGCTATCGTTGTGGTAACCAAGCTGCAATCATGGAACTTGATGACACTCTAAAGTACTCTTTGTAAGTATTTACACCTTAGTAGTAGGTTGCGTACTTGAATAGACTGAACAGGAGATTTAAGAGTTCAAGAGCTTAGGCTAAGTCAGAAGGTTCCAGTTTGATTTTGTTTCCTTTGAAATGAACAAATTGGTATGTGGAAAAACAATAGAAACTAGTCATATACACACCTCTAATTATATAGACCCATATAATAATATGAATTACTAGGGTTTTAACTTTTAAACCTCTGTTTTTATTGTGGAGTTAATAAAAATACATCCTGAGGATAAGATGTTAAGTACAATACATTAGACTCTAAGTTTTATTTATTTCACAGAACTAGTCTTTCAAATAGTCATAGAAGGAACTCTAATATATAAAGATCCTCTGGCTAAAGTTGCCTTGGCTCTTTGAGGAGGTGTGCAGTTAAAGGACCCTTTTTTTAAAATTACAGTATCATTGATATACAATCTTATGATGGTTTCAGGTGCACAACACAGTGGTTCAGCTTTCACCCGTATTATCAAGCTGTCACCCACTCATTGCAGTCACTGTCTATCAGTGTAGTAAGATGTTATAGAGTCATTAATTGTATTCTCCATGCTGTACTATCATCCCCGTAACCTACCTATATTGTGATTGTGAATTACAGTGCCCCTTAATCCCCTTCTCCCTCCCCACCATCCTCCTCAACCCCGCCCCTTTGGTAACCACTAGTCGCTTCTCGAGATGACCCTTATTAAAAGCATGATTAGGCTATAATTAGGATTCTATTATTATATTAAGGCAAGCTGAAATTGGATAGGAAAAGAATGTGTAAAGTTTGAAAGGCTAGTGTTCTTTATTTTGATTGTCAGTGCAATTGTGTCTTGGTATATAAGCAACAAACATGTCTTGTTTTTCAGCTTGCAGTTTGACCCAGCACCTCGCAGAGGCGAGCCCCATGTCACTCGTCGTACCCCAGACTACTTCCTGTAATGAAACTTAAAACTTGTACAGTATTGCCATGAACCATATATTGACCTAATGGAAATGGGAAGAGCAACAGTAACTCCAAAGTGTCAGAGAATAGTTAACATTCAAAAAACTTGTTTTCACACGGACCAAAAGATGTGCCATATAAAAATACAAAGCCTCTTGTCATCAACAGCTGTGACCACTTTAGAATGAACCAGTTCATTGCATGCTGAAGCGACATTGTTGGTCAAGAAACCAGTTTCTGGCATAGCGCTATTTGTAGTTACTTTTGCTTTCTCTGAGAGACTGCAGATAATAAGATGTAAACATTAACACCTCGTGAATACAATTTAACTTCCATTTAGCTATAGCTTTACTCAGCATGACTGTAGATGAGGATAGCAGCAATCAATCATTGGAGCTTAATGAACATTTTTAAAAATAAGTACCAAGGCCTCCCCTCTACTTGTGACTTTTGAGATCGTTTTGTTTATTTTCAGGGATACCGTTTAATTTAATTGTGTGATTTGTCTGCGCTCAGTTTATTTCCCTTCCAAATCTCAGCCTCATGTTGTTCTTTGTTACTGTCAGAACCTGGTGAGTTGCTTTGAACAGAACTGTTTTTCCCTCTCTTGTAAGACAATGTTACTGCACAAGAGCACTGCAGTGGTTTTCATAATAAACTTGTGAACTAAAAAAAGAGAAAGTCAAATTTTAATAGTTTCAATGGGCAAAACTGGTGCTGTTGATTTAAAGATAACATCAACTGATAAATTTTAGAATTTGTAGACTTCTCAGTAAAGAAAAATAAAAATGAAGGCCACTACATAATCTCTGGTAATCCTTGATGGTCCTGAGATGAAGTGTCAGGACTGACTTGGACACAGTACAGTTTGTCAGATTGCCTTGTGCCCTTCATGGCTTCCTCCTGCATATTGACTTGTCTGCGAGAAAGGAAATCTATGTGCTTACTTCAGGAAGACCTGGCTGTAAAACCACAGAACTTGAGATTTAAGTTTTTTGGTTTTGTTTTAATAAAACAGCATGTTTTCAGGAAGAGCTTGACAAACTGATGGTGTCTACTTATCAGTGTGCACTTTCTGGTTACAAACATTATATTGCTATGTGTGTTACATGAACTCTAAAATGATGGCAGTAAGTTCTTAAATATTTACACATTGTCATGTGAACTTAGAGTTTATCTCTGATGAGAACGCTGTTAAGCATTATCCTGTAAGCTCTTTAAGTGATACTTGTTAAACCAAATAGAAAACTATTGCTGGGTCATGGTTTAGTGTTAATGTACATTCACCCAAGGATGAAAATGGCATTTGAAATTAAGTGGCAGTGTAAGCATTTAATGAGTTTTTTCCTCTCTTTTTATTCTTTGAATAGGATTAGAAAGTTGAAACAGTCCTTCTGTGGAAACTAATAGTTGGTCATATTAAGCTACCAGGGTAAACTTCAGGACACTTACTCATTACTTGTGTGAATGTAGTAATAAAAGTTTCTTTGCTTTGTACTGTGTTGAATTTTCAACTGACAAGGAAGTTTTCACATTTCTTTTTATAAGATGCTTGAAGAAAGTACATACACACTATATATTTAATTTTTAAATATACATACACACTATATATATTTTAGATCTTCTCTGATCTAATTGACAGTATTTTGGTGGCTTACAGAATTGATTATCCAAAGGAAAAAGCCCTTAGTTTTTCTACATGTCTCCGTTGAATTGTATTATTTTATGCTTTTACAAGAAGTAGATCTCTATCCCCTTTGCATTGTCACTTTATGCCCTTTCTATCTGACTGAACAAGTAGTTTTATCAATGTGCAGTTTTAATCCATTATCCAGGTAGTCTAGATACCAAGCAGCTGTTTTTCAGGTCCTGTAATACCAGAATTGACTCTGAAGGAATGTGTATCTTTTAATTGACTTGTGGGACTGTCATCCAATTACAAATTCTCTGAAGTAAATCTTGTGGCTAGCAGAAAAGGGCTTGTAGCCAGTATGGCCTGGGTTTAAAATGATGACCGGGTTTAAACTGACTGTCTAATTTGAGAGAATGACTGGGCTTTGGCCATCTAAACTAGAAAATGTTAGTAACCTACCTGATTACGAAATGGGTAAAGAAAATGCATTGGTAAGTAGTAATTCCCTTTAAAAATTTGTAATTGTTGCTGATTTCTCAGTAACATGAAAATAGAATTTTCATAATAAACGTTTTAAAAGCTTGTTAAAAAAAAGACTTGTCAACCAACAATGAGTGCTTTGAGTATTCTATACTGAGGACTTGGCAGAAGTTTGCTGTAAGAACACTTGGTAAGAGTAAACTGAATTGGTAAAATGATGTGCTTGTTTCTGAGGTTGAATATCTTAAGCAGACAGGTGCCTTTTTTCCTTTTCTTGGTTGCAGTAGGTGTGTTTTAAATGGAAGTGTAGCATGTCAGTACTAGATTATTTTTAGAAAGACTTAGCTTTATTTAGCTTAGTAGGAAAAGAATGGTTATTTCTGTGGTTCTCAACCTGATGCCCATAGAGATTGAAATTGTTTGGAGGCAGGCCCATGCAAAAGTATTGAGTTTCCCAAGTGATAATAATTTACATCTAGACTTAAGAATATGGCTCAGTTTCCCAATTACAAATTTAGAAAAATTGGGTTTTGTGGTAGCTGTGGGTTTTGGTAAATAACTAAAATACCCTGTGTGACTCTGTTTCTGTAGTGACTTTTACTTGTCCTGTATAGTAAGCAGTCCCTTCCTTGCAGCTGTAGTTCCTAGAAATGGGTGTTGAAGTTTTAGTAGTAACTTGGGTTTTTCCCTTTTACAGTTGTACATTTGTTCTGTTGAGTAACCTACGAAGGTTGTAGATGAAAGGTGGGCAAGAGCCTTCACAGCTTTTGGGTTAGAGAAAGTGACACGTGTGTTCGTGCATGCGCGTGCCTGACCTGCCTCAGGAAGCCAAGTATGTGGTAGGTCCTTGGAAGCACAGTGAGAAAGGTCTGCACGCTGGCCCTCTGTTGGCCGAAGTGTCCTGGCCACTGCATTCCTGGGGCTCATGGAGTAACTTGGCTTTGTGTTGCAAGGACATTTATATGAACCAGATTTTGAAAGAACTGAGACTGATCGAAATGATTTTCAACTCAGCATCTGCCATCACAGCCTAACAATTTACTGAGGAAAAAGGAACTTTCACAGTGGTCTTGGGTTGACAAATTAAAAATGAAAAGGAAAACCCTTTTCTTTGAAGGAGATGTATATGGAGTGGGACACCCCACTCCAGCTTTTTTTTTTAAGACTTTTTAAAGAAATTTTGGGTTCACAACAAAACTTAGAAAATACAGAGATGTCCCATGTGCCCACTGCCCTATATGGGCAGAACCTCCCCCCATTATCATCGTCCCCTACCAGGATGGTAACCTACACTGACACATCGTAAGCAGAGTCCACAGTTTACATTAGGGACCACTCTTCATGTACGTTCTCTGGGTTTGGACACATGTATAATGGCATGTATCTACCATTACAGTATATATACAGGTATTTTCAGTGCCCCCCAAATCCTCTTCTCTACCTGTTCACACCCTCTTCCCATCCCACTCCTAGGTCTGTTAAGTTTTAAGTGAGAGAATTCTCTCCCTAGTGTATTGACGTCAGAGTGTTCTCTGGCTGAGGAATGACAGCTGTTGAGGCTTTTACAAGGATGGCTAATGGAATCTTAGGCTAACCATTACTTGACCATCTCCCCACCTTTTTAAAGACCCTTGTCATCTCTTGAGAGGAGCCACAAGCCATGAGCATCCCCTGGTGCCCAGTTAACCACAAATTCTGATAGGGAAGACTACCCCGCAAACTTTGCCCACCTCTGATGTATGTGTGCCCAGTCTTTTTAAAAATTGATCTTTTCTCCTTTAATTTTTAAAAAATACATGTAGTAAAGTCAAGCAATACAGATGTATGCAAAAAAGACTTTGCTCAACCTTACTCCTGTGAGGTTACTGGTAATAATATGTAGATACCTTCACAGTCACTCATACATACAAGCATGCCTGTCTTTAGGGTGGGCATGCTCTATCAGATAACTGAAGATCATGTAGATTGAATTCCTCTGGGAGCAATTTAGGATTTTTGCACACATCAGCGTGTATACATTGTGTGCCTATGTGCATGTGTGTGCCACTCCTTGCTCTTCAAAAACAAATGGTAGCAGACACTGCTGTACATAGCTTAAGTTTTAACGTCTTGGGTACTGTGCCAACAAATTTGAGCTTTTAATTAATTTACGAGTAACAGTAGTGAGCTGGTGAGAGAGTGGTGGGTCCCTGAAGTAGTTAAATGTTAAACATGGAAGCAAAAATAAGAACTCAGCAGATTGTTCATGTGTAGTCACGGCTGAGCACAGCTCTAATGTGGGGTGACCAATTGTCTCAGCCTAGGAGTCAGGGTTTCCCAGGAAGCAGGGCTTTCAGTTCTCAGACCAGGACACCTGGTCACTCCAAAAGCCTTTCCCACCCTCACCAACTTGGCAGAATCCATTGCTTTGGCGTTTATCTGGATTCCTGATGAGGAAGTGGGGTAAGTGGTAGCTAGATAATGACTCACACCTGATTCCTAAGTCCATCTGTTGCTTGGCCTGGTGTCATGAGTCGGCAGGAACCAGTGTTTGCATTTAAAAACCTATGACCCTGGAACCTGCTGACTCCCAACATTCCAAGCTTTGTCCTCTGTTGGTGCTCTTATTTATGAGAATTTAAAGGCTTTCCAAGACTTGAAGCAAAGGTCAGAGGTAGGAATAAATCAACAAAAAGAATAGGAAGGAAGGGGGAAAGCAAGGAGTGGTGGGATGGGAGTGTGTGATTCTCAGCTAGAGGGCTTAGTTCTCAGCCAGAATGCAGCAAGCAGCTGTTGTCCCCTGGGGGAGCACAGCCAATGAGCAAGAAGAGATGTAACCATGTGTTTGAGTAGTGCCCAGGGGGTAAGTCAGTCACTGCCAGGCACTAGCTGAACTGAGTGGTTTGGCAGAGTGGCCGGTTCAGGTGGCATATCCCAGGCACCTGGAGTCAGACTAGTGAGTGGATGGCCTTGGGTGGCCTTGGGAGCCACTTCATTGCAGCACAGGGCTGTCCTGTCCTCTAAGAACTGCATGGTGCATGTGTGAAGGAAGTGGAGAGGTCTAGTGAGGCCCCTGATTGTGGATGTGTTGTCCTGGGTAATGGCAGCTTTGAAGTTTCTTCGTGTTAGCCAGGAGCTTTTGAAAATAGAACCATCTTTAAAAGTGCAGATGAAAGGAAGTGGATTGAAACACTCCAACAGCTACTTGCTGGGCACCTGTTGTGTACCAGGTGTTACCAGCTGGGAAGAAATACAATGGTGTACACCACCAAGTGGCTGTCCTTGTGGAAGTTCACACTTCTGAGAGAGAAATATGAAAGTCAGATAGGAATAATGTGCTATGAAGAGAAATAAGCCAGGGTAGAAGCAAGAGGATAAAAAGAGGGCCCCTTTTAGGCAGCTTGCTCATGCAGTTCTGCAGGTTGTCCACAGCTCAACAGGTACGTGAATTATGACAGGTTTTTGCCTGATAGCTGTAATGTGTTTTGATGTAGTGGCTTTAACAATGCCAGGCTTGCTGTTCCTGGAACAAGGCAAACCCATTCTCAGTCTTTGCAAGTATTCTATTAACTTAGACCAATTTTAATTAAATTTAACAACGCACTGATTGGGCTACTAATGTGGCTGGTGGTTACTAAGGCGACACTGGACTAAAGGATGAAGAGGAGCTATTGAGTGTCAGCTATCT